ACGATGTGTCACTTGCCTCCCCTCCACTTCAGCCCAGTCCCCAAGCAGACATCACAGCAGAATGGCTCCAGGTGAGGGCCTGTGCTCTGGTGGCGAGTAGGTCCTGGCCCAGTCACTGACTGTTATGGATAACACCTTGGACAAGTGTTTATTTTCATCCTGAAAATTATGGGGGCAACAAAAGTGCTGACCTCAGTGGATTCTGAGAAAAACCCACTGAGATGCTGCTTGTAGGGTGATGAGCACAGTCCCCATCTTCAAGGAATGCTGCTGCTATGGATGTTCATGATGATGATGATGATGATGATGATGATGATGATGATGATGATGATCATGGATCTCCCTAGTGCAGAGAAAGGTGACATCCAGGCAGGGAAAAGACAGGCTTCATTACAATAGGTAGCCGGGGATTCGGCTCAGTGGTTCTGCCACCTGCCTCGCAAGCACAAGGGCCCAAGTTCGATCCCTGGTACCAAAAACAAAACAATACAAAAAAATTTAATAGGGACACTTACTAAAAAGCAGCTTCTGCTTCTACAAGTGGACTCTACAGGTAGAGCAGTTAGAAAGACAAAGGAGAGAAACTAGACTGAGAGAGACACCAGGTAAAATAAGTACCATAAGAATTTATCAAGAACAGTTAACACAGTGTGAAATAGGAAGAAAAGGGCTAACGGTGTAGGGGAAGTGGGAAGGGTAGGGGAAGGAAATAAGGGAAAAGAAAAAAAATATGAGAAAATGAAAAAATGGAAATAAAGTATTTGTAAATAGGGAAGGGGGTGATAGGGAAAACTTTTATAAATAGCAAAAACCTATGAAGTGTTACAATGTAAAATGGCTTCTGCTGTCTCTAATAGCAGTTTGTTTTGAAATAGGGAAGGGTGATAGGGAAAACTTTTATAAATAGCAAAAACCTATGAAGTGTTACAATGTAAAATGGCTTCTGCTGTCTCTAATAGCAGTTTGTTTTGTTTAGCTCAAAACTAATAGGCACAGAAGGCACTAATTGCCAAATGAGGCATTTGGTCTGACCCTAAGATAACAGTCATGGTCTTGAGCCACCTGATCGTAAGAGTGTCTAAATGAAAGAACTCATTAACATTCGTTCCCCTGACCCTGAACACTCCCTTCCTATGGAATAGAATAGATAACTAGGTGAATCTTAAAGGTAAACTCCGCAACTGCAAAGAACTGTTACGTCTGGGTTGAAAAGATTAACTATTCTGTGACCGCGATTTGAACTGTGAGAAGGAAATGTAACCACCCAAATGAAGTCAAGGCTGTACAACCCTATAAAAGGAGGAGTCGTAACCCAGTGCGTCGTCGATCCAGGCATGGCTTATGTGCGATCAGACCTTACTGATAAGTAAATTTATTATTTTATTTCCATTCTGCTGCCTCTCTGTGTGTCACTTACTGATTCCTTCCATAACAGGGGTGAAGGGAAGGTAGGGGTAAGGGGAAAAAAATGAGAACCAAGACCTGTCATGTAGAGGTACAACATCCCAATAATGAATGTAACTGTACTGTATCCCTAAAATGTACCAAAAAAGTCAATAAGGGGAAAAAAAAGAACAGTTAACAAAACCCAAGGAAGGCAGAAACATAAAAGATGAGGGAAGCAAGTGCTCTCATCTACCTGATAAAAGAGATAAGGGACAACCACCTAAGGACTCTTATTTAGTATGTAAAACCCACACACACACACTCCGACATACACACATATATGTGAGCCTGCTCTCACTTCACCATTGTTATATAATTGCATCAGATACATACATCCCCTTTACTTACTCATTAAATCTAACTCTCTTCCTATAAGCCTCTCCCCACACACACACTTAACCATCACAAAGGGACAGGAAGATATCCTACAGCCAATAGGAATGTAGGCAGATATGACCAGGCTAGGATTAAAGATAGCCAGAAAGCCAATCAGGTGGTGCTCACTTCCAGGTGCCCACATGGGGGATGGGAGAATCACTAGTTCTAAAAAAAAGGGCCAGGGACAAGAGCTTAGGGGTGTTCACTTCTGATACCCCCTACTCCTCGGGGTAGCTGTCTATCTTCCTTTCTATCTTTTCCCAGATAAACCGTCTTCTTTTATTTTAAACTCTGTCTCTTTAATGCACTACTGGAGCTGTAAGTTTACAGTCCTGGCAATTGCGTGTTCCAGAGGGGACTGGTGTGTACTTCCCACGCTGCCACACTAGAACAGCTCCTAAGCTTGTAACCTTTGTAACCTCTGGCCTCTCCAAATTACAGTAGCATCTCTCCCAAAATCCTGCGGAATTCCTGAGGATATATTACACATTTGTTTTGATTTCCCACCCGCTATGGCCCCTCTGGTTTCCTTATCCATTGCAGGCTCCGTGGAAGACTGAATATACAGAGATGGCGACTACAGGCCATCACAAAGAGTGTCCTAAAGTCAACAATAAAGAGCAATTAGCATGCTCTGATGAACCCCACACACTTAACAAGGAATTGTGACCTCTTGTGAATGAGAGAGCAGCCTTATGTAAACACTTGTTTGAACTATCTGTAGCTAGCCACTTAGAAATACCCAGAAAATGGCAAGTCCAGCCTCAGTGCATCTGAAAAGAATTCTCAGCCTGTCTTTCTGGTCATCACTGAGTCATCAAGGGCATCACACTCTTGGAAGGAAACAGTTCCGACCACGTTCATGTTGACAGACGCGTCACCTGAGCTGTAGGTGCAAAGTTCCTGGTGATGCTATTACCATTTGCCATGCACTTAATCTCTCAAGCATTATTATGTTAATTTGCTTGTTACATCTGACCAACTGGCTTCTTTAAAACACATCCATGTACATACACCCACACGTAATCATGAATGTGGAAGCAATTATCCTATAGAGAAATACCTGGGTCAATACCAGCAGCCTCTAAAACATCATGTTGGTTAGAAAGCTCGCCTCTTGATGAAAACATTCCCATAAAACTAAAGATACCTGAGATTTTGCTTGTGCATCAAAAAATGAAATCTGAGCTTTCAAAAGAAATCAAGGTATTTTAAATATCAGTGAAAATATATGCTCCATTAAACATTCTTCTACAAAAATCCAAAGGTTTTAAAAGATCAAAAACTGACAAATGATATCATATATTAAACTCTTAATAAAATTCCAGAGAACAAATCTAATTTATGGGGTGACAAAGTATTTTTTTATCTTTGTGTTGCAGGTATTATAAATGTATCTACTGCTTTCTTTGTCTTATTATGGAATTACACCAAATCTTAAAACCAAGTGCCTGAAATTCATCAATTGCTATAACGAAATAAAAGGTTGAGCTTATTTCATTAGGAGATTAGAGAGTGGGAATCAGTATGTGTGGCTGAATACCCTTCTATCCTCTAAGAATCACAGCACTGAATAACTTCTCTTCTGCCTCACTCCTGCTGCTGCCAATATGCAAATCACATCGTGCTATTTGTGTCTGTAGCCAGAATATCTGTGGCATTTGTATCTAGTCTTCAAAACAATCCACTGTTAATAAATCTATGACACAGCCACAAACTTCTCACAATAGCCTCTCCAAACTGTGTTTTACAGTACATGCAATGTAAAATCTTGGGGAAGAATAAGTGATGAGTGGAAGCTCCCCCCTATTTCAAGCCATAAACTCATTAGATACACACTGATCGCCTCATTTCCAGGATTTATAGAAGAGCTGAGTTAGAGCAGAAATGAAAAAAAAAAAAGTCTTACTGTAATACTCATATTAGTTATGCCCGACTCTCAACGACCCGAATTTTTCAATTTTTCTGAGATTAGCAAAAGTCAAGTTGATTTTCCAGCAGAAAAGTAATTATGAAAAAGCAGCTGTAACAATCCTTTCATGTGCATGTGGTGTTACAGGCATTATGGAGCACTTCAAAAATCTTTCCAACCATCATTAGTTAACAAGATTTCCTCCATAAAATCAGAGTGATTTCTTTCAAAATGCAGAAATGGCCCCATGTGATCTGTGAGGATTTTGGGAACAGCCCACTCAAGTTACCAGAGAAGCAGACGCAGTGGTAGGTCAACAGGAAGAACCTTCGAGAAGCCAGCCTGCCCACCTAAAGGTTACTGCTGTTGTTCCATGACAAGGGAGAGATTTGCTATTCCTTCTTCTACAGGAAGATTTGATGGCAGTTCTCCAGGGGTTAACCAGCATCAGCAGGGAGTATTCTGAGTACTCTGTTCCCAGTCTCCCCGACAGCCTTGTGGCAGAGAACTGAGCTCCAGAGCTGGCTGCTTGGATCTGAGCTTGCACTCACTAACTGTGTGATGTTAGGAAAGTTCCCCTGCTCTCTGGGATGTAACTCTGCATCTATAACACATGGGCGGACAATAATGACACCTTTTTCACCAGGACAGGGCAAAATCAAATGCAATTAGACTTCCTGAAGCTTCCAGCAAAGTGTCCGGCATGTAGAAAGTGAAGAGGACTGGGTGGCAATTGCCATGCAGCAGAGGCAAGAAGTAAAAATAATCCCAATATGCCCAGCAGATATCTGGATTCTTGTCCATTTACTGTAGGAGGGAGAGACATATGACAGTATGCAGCAGTTAAGGCACAAGGTAGTTTTCTGGAGCAGTCAACAACTGACCAGCTAAAACCAGAAGAGTGGTTAACAGAGATCCACTGTGCCTGAGTTTGGCAAACTCAAAGCTTGCCCTGGAAGGAGAGGGAACAGGATGTTCTTGTCATTTGTCTTCCTTTAATCCATATTTTGAAACAACTCAGCATAGCCCATGTAATTGAGTTCCTTCTCTTTTCAAAGAATTGGGCAATTATGACTTCTCACATGACCATGCAGTGCCTGTCATGACCTGGAATTGAATTTTAATTTGATAGGTTGCTCTCTTCTCCTCCTCTTTATCCCGAGTGGCCCACTATCTTCAGCAGGGGCTAGAAAACCTAAGAGGAAATCCATCTGGTTCATATTTAGCAGAGTGGTCAAATCAGTCATGAAATGACAATACTTACAAACATGAGGCGGGTAGGTATGTTGTCTGATTGCACCAAAGGATTTTTATAGAGCCAGATCTCTTCCGGCTGGATGACTCTCTGGAATGGATCCAAAAACTCTGTAAAACTGAAACAAAACATAGAAAAATGGGTGAAAGATGAGCATTCTGCCATTGCCAGAAGTCCCAAGGGGGCCACCCCTGCTCTCTGCCTTCCAGAAAGGGGAGACATGAGCAGCCCTGCCAATGGTTCTTAGCCAGTCGCAAGTGGGGAGACACAAAAAATCACTGAGAATTTACAGAGCCCACTGTCGCCACCTGCCAGAAGGACCAATGAAGCTCAGAAGTAAATGGCCGTGAGAGTTGTCTCACAGACTCTAAGAACCTGGGCTCCAAAGTGAGCTAGAAACTGTGAGCAGCACAATGGCTCAGACAGGAACAAGGCCAGGTCACCAGCACAGTCTCTGCGAACAGGAAGGGCTTGAGGTGGAACGAAAGTGAGGGAGCAGCTGGCTCCACCAGGGGCTGAACTGTCCAGTTTTGTCCCCCAGGTCACAGAGGAAACAATGCTGCCAGCACTGCCTCCACTAGGGTTAGAGCAAGAAGGAAAAGCTGCCAAAAGAAGACAGAAGTTTGGGACCAGCGAGGAAATGAGTGAAGAGGAAAGGAGATAAAGGAAAATGAAACACATTCTGGGTCAGCTGACGTAACAGCTGTAAGCATTCCACCTCTTGATCTCTTAAACCCCTGGGACACCCCATTCAGCCAAGAAACCAGAACGCTCCTGTCCATGTTCAGTTTTAATTGGCTGGCAGTAAACATCACCAAGGGAAAAACTGCGAGGAACAGTGAGAAAGAAATGCCTGAGTTTGCATTCTCAGCCATCAGTCTTGTCCCAGGACTCTAGCCCAATTCCATCGGGTGATTTTGTTCAGCACAGCTTCTGACATGGCCGAAGGGTAAGGAGTTCCTAGGTTTTGAGTGCTAGGCTAAGGAATTCTGACTTTGAGCCAATGAGAGAGTTGGCAGATAGGGCAGAAATCCAATACAAAGTCATGGCCCTTGCAGAGGAGAGGATGGGACTCGCAGCAGAGAGAAGGGAAAACAGCATGGCTGGGAATTTATAATAGCAGCAGGACAAGGGATGTTGACAGAGCAGACAAGAAAGGGGCAGCAGGGAAGGACGTACAGGTGGACAGGTGAGAGTGGGCAAAGCCAATTCTAAGCCTTCTGCTTTGGGCTTCCAGGAAAAGGATAGCACGGACCAGGATGAAGAGCACAGGGAAAAAGGAGCAGGAGGAGAGGAGCTCAGCTCTTCCTCATCTAGGAACCACGTGGAGGGGTCGACAGTCCTGGTTTACCCAGGAATGAATATCCTGGATCAGGAAAAAACCCTCATTCTCGGGCAAACCTAAACAGAGAGTCATCCTTAAAGCTGTCCCAGTGGCTAACCAGAATTCAGGACCTCACAGCCGAGGTTTCTATCCCAGACTCCATGTGTTGTGTGATTCTGATCCCGCTGTATCCTCTGCCACACGGTGAGGCTATGCAGGGCAGGGACTATTTCAGGGCTAAAAGATCAGAGCCTACTAGGATGCCCTGGCCCCTGGGAAACTGAGACACTGCAGCACTTCATGTCCACTTGAGACTCTAAACAGCTTTGCAGTAATATTCATAATTTGATCAGCCCCACATGAAATTCTCTTGTGTACACAAAAGAAGCCTAAAATTTCATGCTGTCTCTCTCCCTGCATGTTTCATACTCCCTCCTCCCCTCCCTCTTTCTCTTGACTCCCTCCACTAGCTGTGAGGCTTCAAGTCCTAAAAATCTGTACTGATAGAATTTCAAAACAAAGGAGTGCTTGTGACAGTTCTACCCAGCACCGTGCCCCCAGCGCCTCCACCTGGCACACGGAAGTCACTGAAAACAGCTGCCAGATGACAGGATGGGCCCACACAGAGCACCATCACGTGGCCCAACCAGCAAATCAGCTGCCTGAACCAGGAGCACCTTTACTGCAGAATTAGATCCTAAGCGCACGGAGATCGCTTCACCGGAACACAGGAACTCCGGCTTCCTCCCAAGTGAGGCCAGGAGGAGTACCTCACTCAGACTCTGGCAAACGTGCTCTCAGCTGCTCTGTGCTGTGGGAACAAGCCACGTCTCCTCTTGGGGCCTCAGTGTGACCACTTGCATCAGGGAAGGGTGGACTAAATCAGGGGCATCGACTGCAGAATGGTAAGGACCTTAGGGAGACCACCCCAACCAGACCTACAGAGAAGAGAGTGCTCGGTAATGCACATTTAAAAGACTCCCCCAGGTTCCTTGATGGGCCCTGAGTCTCCATCACTAAACTAAATGATCCTTAGGGTCCCACACCCTGTCTCTAAGGGTAATGAACTTAGGTGACTTAATTCTCCTCCTTGACAACTCTTGACAATCTGTGGCTGGGAGGCTCTGAAGTCAAACCCGTTAGCTTTCAAACCCCAGCTCTGGCTGGGTGGCTCCTGGCTAGTCTTTCCCTTGACATCTCTGGGTCTCAGTTTCCCCTGCTATAAAAGGGACACGCCTAAAAGAGCTGGAATGAAAGTTAAATGAAAGAATACACAGAATGCCTAACAGAACATGAACAGAAGCTAGTATCTTATTGCTATAATCATTTTACGGTAGTCTAAAAGCTGCATATTGTTAGCTAGACAGTTTTCAAGGTTTCCTTTATTTGAGTTTGTGACAGCCTATTCCTGCCTGGATCCTACGTGTTGTTTTAAAACATTTAAAATCAAATGAAACAGAATGATTTGTTTGAAATATAATTTTAAGAACATGTTACCTACTTGTGCTAACTCAGGCTTCCAGAATACTACAGTTACTATGGCTGCATAACAAATCACCCCAAAACATTACTTTACACTGAGTTGGTGGATCAGGAAACAGCGGTCTGGCTAGGTAGTTCTCACTTCAAATCTTTCATGTGTTTGCTGAAAATGACACCAACCATGGCCACAGTCGTCTGGGGGATGGACTGTCCTGCCCAGCAAGATGGCTGTCCATGTAGCCAGCCATGGATGCTGGCAGTCAGCTGGAAGCCCAGCTGGAGCCGCCACCCCGGGCTACTACACATAACCTCTCCAGCTATCTCAGGGACCTCAGAATTCTGCATGACTACTGGCTCTACCTACAACAGGTGTTCTGAGAGAAGCAGGAAAAATCTGAGTGGCTCTCTCTGACCTCACGTCCAGAGACACAGAGTATCATTTATACCACATTCTCACTAGGAGTGAGTCTTAAAGTCAGCCTCATTCAATGGAGAACTAACCTCAACTCTTTATTTTTTCATTTAGTTTATTGGTAGTTTTTAGTACACAATACAATTACATTTATCATTGGGATCTTGTACCTTTACATGACAGGTCTTGGTTCTCATTTTTTCCCCATACCTGTGCTCCCTTTACCCCCTCCCTGCTCCTCTATTTACAAAGACTTTGTTTCCATTTTTTTCCTTTTCTCATATTTTTTCTTTTCCCTTATTTCTTTTCCCCTACCCTTCCTACTTCCCCTACACCTTTAGCCCTTTTCTTCCTATTTCACATTGTCAGTTATACCATTTGGATCTTATTTACACTTTGAGTTTTTCATACCAGAGAAACTAGTCAGTATTTACACGTGTGTCTTTTTTACCTCAACTCTTGACTGAGGTGTAGCAAGATCTCACTACAAAGAGTAGGCAGATGCAGGATATGGCTGTGGCCACCTCTAAAATACAATCTGCCACCCTTAGATGTTATTAACCATAACAATCATTCACTCTCAGAGCCCCCAAACTTTGATTCCCCACACAGGAAGACACAGGTCCGGGAACCAGACAACCCACTGAGCACTTCCTTCCCGCACTTTGTCTCTCAGATTTTACATGCCTCATGGTAATTTTTCTAAACCCGGTGCACCCAGCCTTTTGCACAATCCCTCACCCTGTCCAGAGTCGCTGCAGCCAGAACACATCTATCAGGCAAATTACACTCTCTGGGAGCAGCAATACCAAGAAAGATAGATGCCCCTCCTCCAGCCATGCTCCAGCCACCAGCACCTGCCTCACAGAATTCAGACAGTGAGACAGCTATTCAGAAGACCCAGGGCTTAAAAAATGTAAATGGGGAGCAGAGGAGGGCGTGCAGAGGAGTGGAGAACCCTGCAGATAGGGAAGGTATTTCCACAGAGGGATGCCCAGACCTGGAAGCATCCTTAGGCATGTTCTTTGGAAATAAATAGAAAACCACGAGATAGAAGCCTTGTTTCTAGTTGAGAACTGGATGTGCAGTTTCCAGTTGCCTCTTGGCAAGGGCTCCCTATGCAGTGAGGACCCCCAATAGTATGTCAGGTCAGTGTGTCCCACATTTTAATGTTCCCTGGAAACACCTGGGGTTCTTGTGACTACAGATCCAGATATAGGGAAGGCTGGGAGGTGGCATTTCCAGCAAGCTTCCTGTGAGACGACAATACAGTGCTGCTGATGTAAGGGTCGAAACTTGAAACACAAAGGCCATCAGCACTCCCTGGGAACCCCTGTCTCCAAACCAGACTTACGAAATCAGAGCCCACTCCTGACATGACCATCTGGGGCTTCATGTGTGTGCTGCGAAACTCCATGCTCTCAGGAAAAATCAGATTTCTTTCCTAATGTTGGGCCATTTGAGAATCAGGTTGTACAGTTATCCTTCCTCCACCTGTACAGTTATTTTTCTTTAGATGAACTCCCTCTGTAAGCTAAATGGGTTTATTTCAGAAGAAATTGCACATCACTCCTTAGTTATAAAATCAGCAACCTCTCCATAAACAGCTGGTAGACTACATCGAAGTCCAACCCAACTCACCTCACAAAGCCTCTAAGGCCATCTCAAGCCCCCTACTTCTGTCAGGAGAGGAGAAGAAATATAAAAAGCAAAAGCAAACATTTGAAAACATGGCCACCTGAGTCTACTCAGTGTAGAGGAAAATGGCCCTCCCAGCATTAGCAACTGCTGGGTGCATCAGCATCTTCCTGGCACGGTAGTGACCAATGTCCTTGAATTTTCAAGGAAAGGCTGAAGAAAGTACAGGAATTCTTTGACCACTGGCAGGAGTGCATTTCTA